CATTTTTACATTACTTTTACTTAAATAAAGGATCCAGGTACTTCCTCCACTACAGTCACATATTAAAACAGAAATCACTATTTCTCCCTCATACACAAGGCCTTACAACCACACACACCTGCAGGTAGTGATGGAGCTGTTGAACCAGAAAGGGTTCTCCCCGTCCTCGGGCTTGTTGGCCAGTGGGATTGCAGAGATATTAAACACAGACAGGCTGTTGTTTATGTATCCTTTCATATTCATCTCACCCTTCGGCTGGTAGGCGTACATGTACACGAGCCGAGGGATCATATCAGAGGTGAAGGCCACAATGAACGCCTAGAAAGCAGGGAAAGAAATGGTGTAAGGAAAACTAAAAATGATACTAAGTAGATAATGAGTGCACAAAGCACACAGATGTAGTCCAGCACTGACATTTGTGACAACAGAGAGTACGGCCATCCCATTGAGGATTTCCTGCCAGGCTCCGATGCTGTGGGCCTTCGCTGCCACGGGACGTCTGAACTGAGTGGTGAGCTTCCAGGCGTCCACTCTAACCTCGATGATGTTGTTAATGAGAGCCATCAGGGGTGCCAGGGGGAAGGAGGCGACAAACAGTGTGATGAAACCAAACTGGATCACTGGGGCACAGAGAGAGGAGAGGTTAGTGAAACAGCACCATCTGCAGAACCTCTGAGGAGACTGCATCTACCGGTCTGTGTAAAGTGTAATGGACTATGTACTCAATGTCTACCCATTTCCAGGTACTCATAGAAGAGGCCGAGCTGTCCAAAGCCCTGCAGGTCATGGTCCTGCTCCCAGCGGCTGTATAGACTCTCTGGATGGCTTCGTGCCTTTCTGCTGCCCCACCAGTTCATCAGCCACCTGCAGGCCACAAGGGGGCGATAGAGAGCCTTGAAGCAACATAATTCAACCTCTGCCAGCCATATTTGACGCTGTATTGAACTGTAAACAATGGCAATAAAGAGATGACTGCATTTCTAAACATAGAAGCCATCCATCTAAACTAAGTGTAAAAGTCAAGGTTAATTTCTGGGCTTGTTTTGTCTGGAAACTGATTATGCAACCACTAAAAACAGGCATTTTCACAGCAGACATTTCAATTTGTCATAGTAGGAAAAGCACAGGTTACTAATCCTTGTAATTGTATTTGTTACACGTTAAAATGTCTTCCTGTCTTTCTTTAAATGTCATAATCTTACTGAATACTGCACAGGCTTACGAGCAGAGGTTAGTGGACGCATGATGACTTAGAAAAAAAAATACTTTTCTAAATCCACTTCCAGGCTGAATAGCTAAAAAACAACAACCTGTCAATCTCAGTAGAGATGACTCTAAACATTGACACTGAATTTAACCCCTCTAATGAATTGTGCTTTGGATGGTTGGTTCAGTTGGAGTACTCACGGGACAAGAGCCTCCTGGATGTTGCCCCACACCTGTTTCCCAGTCATCACTATCACCAGCTGGGTGGTCAACTCAATCAAACAGCCACCAGGGTCACACTGAATGTAAACAGGTTTAGAGAGAGGAGGGATCGGAAGGAAACAAACAATAACTCAAATTCAGGCTCAAGTTGAAATACCAGTGCTAATCTAATACAACGTAATGCGGTTATATCTGGTACCTCTTCATTCCTCAGTTTGCTCCCAAACATATAAGCATAGTCTCCAGGATAGCCGACAAACTTGCCCTTAAAGAAAGCCACGTAGAAGCAGGAGGAGTAGTAGTTGACAAATTGAAAGAGGAACATCTTCACCGTCAGTTTGTTCTCATACTCCAGGTGGGTCTTGGGAATTTCTGCCAAATAAAAGTAATAAAATATAGATTTTAAATACACAAACCAAAAAAGTTCAAACTTCAAGAATTTCAAGGATCATTATGAAATCCATAATGGATATATAGAAACACAGATACTGAATGATCTGGGGTTTGCTCTCTCGCTCTGACCCTCACCCATGTCAGTGATCCAAACAGCCACTCTCTCATACATGAGGTTGAGGATCATGATGATGACAAAGTTGATGCAGGAGGCGGTGACAGAGGTGGCCAGCTGCGGTGTAATGAAGGGGCCAACCACCTGCAGGTGGGTGGTGGGACTGTCCTTCATGATGCTGGCGAAGGCTGCGTATACCGCCAGGCGGTACGCTATCACCCCAATGATGCAGGCAATGATCAATGAGATCTTCAGGACAGAGACAACAGTGACAACATGAAAGACAACTACAGCAAGTCACAAGACAAAAGTACAAAAGTACAACACTAGAGATGTTCCGATACCATTCTTACTATACAATACTATACTGTATATATATGGTGAAAGTGACACTGCTGGGAAGTAGCAGGGTCCTGATTTGGGGCTAATAAATACCGCAGTATCAGATTGGTGCACAGATACAGGTACTCACCGATACCCAACACTGCATTTTAGGCGTCACCAGAGGAATTTCTGATCCTGGTATCGGAACAACTCTAAACAACACACCCATCATGATGCGAATGCAAACACCAAAACACAGACGTATTAAGGGAAGCAAGGTGAATTATTGCAAACATAGATGTTAGGAGTAACTGTCATGCTGGAAGTGTGCACACATGCCCCATGAAAAGAAATGTACCATCTTCCAATTACCTCATTCACGTGATAGATGTTTTTACAAACAAGAGTACACCATAGTGATAAATCTGGGCCAGTATGTATAAAGCCGTAAAACATTGGCCCAAAATGATTAATTTCATGAATGGGTCTCAGCTCCAAAATTATTTGAGAGCTCAATTTCTTAGAAGCTTTATGCATATTGGCCCTGATGATATTAGTGACAATGATAAACACTATAACAGCAAAGACAAAGGTAGAAAATGAAACCAATTTAGATTCATCAAGTATACCAAAGATACAATGCTCACCCAGAACAGGACGGTGGCTCCAGACAGACATGTGCGTGCACACTTGCTTGTTATAGGTAAGTATGGCTCCATTTCCTAAATCATAAGCAAGCAAAGCATGGACATTGTAGTCAGTCATCCTTTGTTATATCCTGAAAAGACAGCCGTTAAAGGCCAGGTTCCTTTAACTACCACTGTGAGGCAGAGCGAGGTTGCCCAATCATAGTGTATTATTTACTTGTGTACTTTTTACTTTTCAATCCAAGTCCAGTTCTTTCATCTTGAGGTCTTTTGAAAAAACCTCGCCCAAGACCAGACCTGATCCACCAGACCAACACCAATGCAGTACAGAAGGAAACTTGTGCCTCTGAGTCTTTCCAGAAATGTCTGTTATCCACACAAACTACACCACACCAAAACCTCTTCCTCACCCATTTCGCATTCCACCTTAAGTGCTACCCTTACCCAGAGTAACACGGTGACCCAGCAAAGAAGCAATTTTGCCATTAGATCTGTAGCAGTCCTTTCAAGAACCCACTCCGGTTCCTAAAGGCGGGTGGGATGTGGTCATTACAGCACCCCAATTCTGTTCATTTCACAAGTCTGTGTCTGTCACTATCCCTAGCTACGTATTCCTGATTCCCTGAAAACACAGTGAGTCAGTTTTATTACTAAGTAATATTGTTCTTAATGAAAAAGTCTACTTTCAAACCATTGCCCAGGAACAGGCCTAATGAATGACTGAATTCAACTCAGTGTGAAGAACCTGTATTGAATAAATACAATAGATGATGTAATCTCTACAATACAGTTTATCTGTCTTGTAAATCCTCAAGTAAGCTACACAGACCTAAAGCTGCACATTAAAACAGTGTCATCCAGTATATTAGTATATCATGAGCACACAAACACCTGAGTGATGCGATTCATCTTGCGGTTGGTGCACTTGGTCTCATACTCTGGCCGAAGCTGCAGCTGCTGTTGCTCCTCCTCAAAGTCAACCAGATCCCACTCGTACTCAAGACGAGCCTGCCGTCTCTTCCAGAACTCCAGAAACAGCGTCACTGCAGAGTATATGACCCCCAAATGTAATGTGTGTGATTTGACCCTCATTCACCTTATTATTATATATTATTATATATATATTATTATTACATATTAATATTACTACTGAATAGATGGAAAGTAAGGGAGAAAATGTGTTTCTTTTGTAATTTTGGTGAATATGTCTTTTTAAATACATAATGAGTGACAGTGATTTAAATCACTAACAATAGTTCCCACTAGGTGGTGCACTGGGTTAGAAAACACAAAAAGCAGACAGTTTACTCACCCCATATCCCCATAAATATGGCAAAAAACACTGTTCCCACATTGTCAAACAGGTGTGATTGCTGAAAGAAGAACATGTTTGAGAAATAGTGAGATTATTAAAAACTTATCTGCTGACATTTAGCTGCAATCACCCTTTAAATGTCACATATTGTGGGTAGAACATGAATCATGATGAAAAAAAAAAAAAAACACTCAATCCTAAAGCCAGGATGTCTCACCCATGAGGAGTTGCATGTTGAGTTGAGTTTCCAGTAACCACATTTCTTGTCACACAGCGGACACATGACAATTGCGCCACCAACTGCCTCACTACAGATTTCTTTACTGTAGGGAAATGAACAGTTTTTCTTCATAAAAGGAACAATGACAGTAATTAAAAATAACACCTATTTATACAATGATATCTGAATGACTAACAAAACAGGCCAGTACTCTGATCTGGTAGAAATCACCTCCACTCGTTGTCATCGTATGTGAGGAATCCGTAGATGAAACAAATTGTCCCGACTATTGCCGCAAACAACAGCATCTCAGTGTAGAAACCCAGCCACGCAAAATAAATACCTATCTTCTCCCCATAATACTTCCTGTTGGAGGGAAACACAAAATATTTTTTGCTGTAAATTCTTCTGCCGTCAGATTAATGTTGAGTAAATACACATCAGATGTGACTACTTACCGTACAAGATTGAGGGGCTGCTCCTTGAAGAAAGAGAGGAAACCAGCCCAGTGTTTATAGAGACTGAATCTCTCACTTTCGCAGTTAGCGTCCCTCGATCTCTTCCAGTATCTAGACTGAATGCACACAAAGTACATATATATTATTGAAACGTTAATTATCCTTGCAACCCAACACTGCTTCCAACAGGATGTGACTGCTGAAAAGCACTGAGTGCACATTCAATTGATGACTTTATGTCTTTTTCCAATCATAAAAAAGTAAAAAAGTTGCTCACATCATGAAGCGGAAAGGCAGCAGTGTAGGTGCTGTTGTTAAGTAACCTCTTGATTCCCTTCTTGTCTTTATCTCCACATTCATCTCTAAAGTATGAACAGCGGGACAAGATGTAGTAGACCTAGGCAAAGAAAGAAAGGGAAGGACAGTGTTTTGTTTTTGTTGTTAAAAACAGACAATTTTTAACATAATGGACATACAATTCTTTCAAATAGACACAACCTGTTAAATTTGAAGCTTAGTCTTTCCAAAAATGTAACTAAAATCTAACCACATGAGTAGGCCTGCACACAGAACTGCAGGATCTGAATGTCAGGGGAATGTTTTAATGGAAGGTCACAAACAACATAAGACAGTCATGGTCGTCCTTACTATCCTGTTGCGAGTAGAAGGGGGGAAGAACGTGTCTTTGTTGTCGATAAGGAAGAAGTCAGACTTGCTCTTGTTGAAGGGAGCTGTGAAAAAGTCTGGCTCAGGGTGCATGATGTGCTCTGGCAGACGAAAAGGGGTGGACAGCCAGTTCATGGGCATCTCGCTGTTGTCAGGGATGTCGTTGACCTTGAATGGGACCTTGATCTTCAGCACGTCTGCGTAGGTGGCCAACACCTCCCATGGAGCGTGGATCTTCACAAAAGAAGTCTTTCCATCTTCTGACTCCTGGTGACAATCACGGTGAGAGACAATATAATGAGCACAGGGCTAGAGATTGATAAACTCAAAACACAATTCAGTAATAAAAGGAGATTACTGAAAAGTGCTTTTTTATAGATTTTTATATTAAAAAAATGATAATTGGTTGACTATGTAGTATAAAGATAAATGGCAGTATTTACCATTGTTTTGAGTTTGTAAAAACTAATAAAAAAACAGATATGTGATATGATGTGAGTACACATATTACATCTTTGTGGGCCACTTAATTCACTTTTACATTAGACATTATCAAATCAATAACTGGATGGTCTTACTGATTTATCTTCTATCTCCAGCTCCAGGCCGACTTTCTCTAGATTGGCCTCATACACCTTCCTCCTCTCCTTTAGAAGAAAACAAAGCACAAATACATATATTTATTAGTTTGATTTAAATGTACACTGTTACTATTGTACAGTGAAATCTAGCATACAAAAAAAATACAGTGTGTGAAAAATCATTACACACAAAAGCTTGAGAAAATCATTTATAATCATTATACATATTATAGCATATATTTAAGATTTTTAAATGTACAGACATATGAACAAATATGGTTTACAATACTGAAAACTGAAAAAAAGGTTGTTAACTGTAAATGTACACATATCAAGCTAAATCTAAATGAAATTTGTGAAGTAAATTGTTCAACAGTTTCAGCAATTGACAAAATCTTATTAAATCAATGTGAGATGAAATACAAAATGTGGCCTCAACATGTGGCACTTCCAGTAAAGTTTAGTGTTTTCAGAAATAGGCTAAAAGAAATGAAAAATGTATGTCCTTGTTAGAGCTATAATTTACTGTCACATTTTACAACACATGTAGATAACACACAGGAACCAGCCTCCTGTTTGCCTTTCCTCATACAGTGGAAAAAATGAGCGAGTTCCTGACCAGGCCAGAGGTCTGAGTGTTGACTCCCTAATGAGGCTGTGGGTAAAATGTGAGCAACACACTGCCTCATACTCGAGGAGTGGTAACAGAGAGACAGCTCGGTATCAAACACTAAAAGTCTTTCAGCGCTCCACAGCGGAAATAGAGACTTGCCACAAAAGACATGTGGCCAGCAACAGCATGTAAATACTTCAAAGTTGATTTACTTAAGAAAATAGGGTTGTCAGTCTTTCTCTAGAAGCGACCTTCTAACAAAATTCTTTGAAAGGATTTCTGATACAAGCCGAGAATACCAGTTTATCTAACGTTATCAGTGTTGTGGTATTTAGGGTATGCCACTGACAGACACTGTGAACACTGAGGATATCCTGTAAGAAACAGTTCTTACTGTTTAAATCAAGTGGTGGAAATAACACCAGCTGTTCTTTTGTGTGATATTTTTGGATTTCAGGATATTTAGTTAAGTTGGAAATATAACAACAACACTGTAAAACAAACATAAAGAAACTAGTTAGTGAATGAACTATGTAACTGGAACTTGTGTATACAGTACCTAGAAGTTTTTTCTTACCTGTTTTCTCTCACCATCTTTATCATCAACATAGGACAGGACAAAATCAATCCTGCGCACTCCATCGCGGAAGAACACAGAGTCTTTACTATGTTGTTGTTTGTCAATCTATAGGAGACAGAACGGAGGTCACAACATTTAAACACACACATAGACATATATGGTATCACTTCAACAAGTCTTTGGATGCATTCAGCACAGCAGACCAGGCAGTCAAACTACAGTATGAGTCAGTGGCTGAGAAGCAAGACCCAAAGAACAAGGCCTCCACACCACATCACACTCTACCGTCTGTCTAAAACAACAAAAACACTGATTATCATATTTACACTCCACACAGAAACAGCATGCTGAATGGGGGGTATCCACTGTGACTAAGATGTTTCATGTTGCTAGTGTCCCCTTGTAGGATTTATCAAATAAAAAGAGCTTTTAAAGTAATATTTGTTGTATAACAGAAATATATCCAGAATCCTGTGAATGCTATGATTTCAGGTCATCTGTCAACCCATGAAACACAACCTCAGGTTACATGTCAGAGCAAAAGATATGTGAGGACTACAAATCCATAGCAATCTCTACACAACAGGGACACTTTATACACACTTTATCTGCCTCTGGTTTCTGTAAACCCTGAATCCACAGTGTCTGAAAACACCTGTACTGGTGGCTAAAGAAATTCCAAGCATGTGTATCAGCAAATGCTAACCCCTCAGTGGCTGCCTCTTCAGCAGCTACAGGGCTGAAGAGAAATGAACACAGGAATGCTTTAAGGGAGGACTGGAAGGCATGGCTGCTTGCTGTTGGTGCTGCTTCAGCTGTTCACAAAGCTAAAAATAACCACGTACCATGAACCTCTGTCATCGCTACTCATCACTACGGCAGCTACCTACACAGGCCTGCACACAATTCAGAGAACTCAGACATTTAGCATCACAACTACAACACTGAAGTAAGCCACATCTATGGCTACTGCACTGTAGGTCTGCCAGAGTTTGGCCATGATTAACACAATGCTTTCGGGGTAGGGAAATAAGAGCACTTTACCTCCATGGCCCACTCCCTTTACGGTTATCATACATCAGTGGAAAGGCCGGCTGCCTGATAGAGAAGATATGCTTTTCTCAAGGGAGCACAGCCCCGAAAGCTCTGCTTCTCTCACTCTCCCTCCACTGATTCCCCAGGCCAAAGGGAGCTCCATCCAGCCCCCTCACCCCCCTGGACAAGCCCTCACATGCTCAGACATTCAGAAAAGGGAGAGGGAGAAAGGCAGGAGGAGGGATACAGAGGGACAGACGTACAGCAGACTCCTAGAGATGACATCAGCACGGGGATAGCTGCTGCTGCCAGCGAGCTAGCTAATGTAATAAGAGCACAGCATCAGAAAATAGAGGTGACGTCACGGTACTGCACAACACTGACATCAGGAGGGTAAAAGCAACAAACAATAACACCGCAACTGAAAAGCCAACTGACTAAATGGAGAAATGTGCTTTAATAATGTTGATAGGTGTGAACCACAGAAAACTGAAACTGATGAATGGAGCATAATCTCTCCAGTCTGACTCGACTGTTTGAAACTAATCAATTAAACAATCTGGAGACATGGCCATGTGTATGTCTATCAGTGGAGAGCGTGTAAATTGCCTCATGTTATACAAAATCTACAAAAGGTAGTAAACACAGTAAGTAAGCCACCCTGGTTCCTACTGTACTTACTTTTTTGTGTTGACGTGTTCAACCTTTCTACAGTTTTTTTACAGTCCAAATTATGCATACGTTCTAACCACAGTGCCTCACAGACTACATCGGACCATGCTGACCATGCCAGGGTTGGTGCTTTCTTTAACTGAGACGTCGCTGGAGAAACTCTCTAATTTTCCGTAATTATAGATCAGCTGTATGGAATCGGTGCATCTGCTGGGACCTGCGTCTGTAGAGGCCGCAGAGTTCTATACATTTGCCAACTAACCCCTAACTACTGGGCGTTTATACGTATGTGTGTCTTTTATCTTAATTAAGGAGGGTAAATGTAGAACATGGTGTAATAAATAGGCTGCTAGTTGCAGGGAGGGTTTAAAAAAATATTACCTCCAAAGCTTTTCTTTTTTTGGGGGCTAAAACAGGTCTTGTCAGCTCTTGGATTTTAAATATATCACAGCTACTAAACTGTATCATAATGTAGACTCTTCTGAGATCAACTCTCTTCTCTACCTTCATTTACTTCACTTTAACATCCCATAGCATCTTAGTGCCACAAAATCTAACGGCAACGGTGCAGTTCTCCTCTCTCTCTCTGTTTTTTTCTGTATTATTTCAACAATTTAAAACTAAAGAGTATTTTCCTGTTCTGCAAAGAACAAAGTTCTGTAGCCAAATTTAGTAAATTGTTGCTTCTAAATCTTTGGATTATAGCTTTATTTCATTGCAATAAATCCTTGCAATCCTCAAACATGTTCTAAACACAGGGAGGATTGTGTTTTTCTGGAGAGCTTAAAAAGAAAAAAATAAATACTCCAATTCCCAGATTTCCAATTCCTAGAAAACTGTAACTGGTTTCGTGAGCATCTCTAAAAGTTTACACTGACAACACGACAGAAAAGTTTCATGCAGCTGAAACATCTTTTGTTTTCATCCTTCATGATAGAGGCAATTTATAGATGCGCAGCTGCCTCCCCTCTGAATCTCCTTGATGTTATCTTCCACTCAGCTAAATTGTACCCTTCAGCTGAAGGGAGCCAGGTTACAAGAAAAGCCTATTGCAGGGTGTTTTTCCCCTAAAGGCTGCTGTTAAAAAGGGTAATGATCCCACTTTTCATTAAAATGGATTACACGCTGTTTAAGAAAGACCACAGTTCAGAGGATTCAAAAGAAGAAGCCTACAGTACGTTATATGGTTAGCCACAGCAAAGTTCAGTCCTGTCATGAGCACAGGGCAGGGTCATGATTACAGTATAGACTGTATTCACTTAAAAGTACACAAATAAATGCGCACACACAAAAACAGCTACGTATGTGTGTGCACTTTCTAAAAGCTGTCACACCACCAGGCTGTTGCTTTCTATTCAGCGAAGCGGACGATTATCACAGGTGAGAAAAAAGCAAGTGAAAAGGTCTTTTTTAATGAACTCTCATGATGCATCAACACATAGCTCATGCCACCCAGTTTCCATTACTCTCTGCAGGAAAAAAACATGCTCTCTCCAGAAGTCAACATCAGCTCTCTACCAAGAAATGTGTATTGATTTCAACTCCAATGTCAAAGCATTATTCTCTAAATATCAAATGCTGGTGGTGAAACTCAACACTGAACAGACTTTCCGTAAGAAGCAAATAAAAGCTGGTAGTCAGGCAGAATATGCATAAAGGTGCATCACATCACAAGCCTGTTTTACCATGCCATACCCTAGAACGAAACTTCAGGAAAAGCGCCCGCTTTCTCGACAGCTGTGGAGGAACCGAGTGGATAGTGAGGGAAAGCCCAACAACACAAGTACAACAGCATACAGCTATAACGGTATCAGCAACCTTACAAGGATGATGAAACGGATCAAAATGTCACTCCACACTTGCATTATGTTTATACATTATTATAGATTACGTCCAAAAACACTTCATAACATCCTGAAAACACTAAAGGTTATAAGTTATAAGTCAGGCATGGTCCCAGTCAGGTCATACTCAGTTACTGGTTTGAGTTTGGAGACGATGTGAGATGACACAAACACGCAGACACTGACACAGCAACATGCATCTGTGTCTTACCCCAGTCAAAGAATTAATTTGTTCTGAGGTCTGAGCCTCACGCTGTGGACTGTCGCTGTGATTAGAGGGGGTCAGGGAGACCAGGGAGGCCAGGCTGGTGTTGAGAGACTCACAGGTCTCTACACACACATCAGGCGTTAAAGGAGACTTTACGTACAGTGTGAAAGGGGGAGAAGACAGAAGAATAAAGATTATCTCTGACTTTCTCTTGATATTTGCAGGTTGTACAAAAATTATGATTGGAAAAATTTATGTAATCTCAAAACTGAGAATACTAGTTGTGGACTAGAAGATCCACATGCTAAACTCTCTTCTCTTGCCACATGTTTGCTATTGATATGATTGGGTGATTTACAACAAGAAAACCACTGACTGCTGAACTGAAAAGAGAAAAGGAAGGAAATCTAAATAAAGGATTTTACTTGAACACACGGACTTCCTGTTACAATGTAGGTAAGCTGGAAGTGAAGATGTGATATTTTCAAACAGAAAGGTTTCATGCATCTGTCTCGGAAAGCTAAACATTAACTTATAGGAGGACATATTTCCATATATTTAAATAGTTGGTATAAATGAAAACCATCCAGGAATATGCAAACTATTCTGAGACACATATAATAACAAACATATATAGTAAAATTATTTTTTGGGATTTGCATGAAAATAAACTCTCAAACTGTTCACAATGAAGGCAAAAGTTAGTTTACAGAAATTTCTGTATGAAGGTGCTGTAAATTAGTGAATGTAAGCAATGTGGTGAGTTTGGTATTTACCGCCGATTGTCCCTGCTGGAGGGACCCTGAGCTGGACGACGCATGTTGGTGGTAGCCATTCATATCATCTGCAAAACATAAGGATCAGTAGATTAACAACAGAATGAGCACTGCACAGAGACTCTCAGACAGGCAGATCGGTGGCAGTAAAGTTAAGTTTCAGGCACATGAACAGCTGCCTGAGTTAACAGAGCAGAACTGACTGACAGCCAATATTATGGTCTATATTTGTGCAGCATTTTGTGGCAGCGCTCACAGGCCAGACAGCATGACTTAACAGGATCACTGTGAGAGAATACACACAGCCATGTTGCTGTGCTGCGATTCTACCACTAAAGGAGTGACTGCCGGAAATGAGACCGAGCAGACTGGTGAAGCCCCTCAGTGTGTGTTTAAGTGAAAGCTGCCTGTGAGATGAAACATGACTTTAGCCATGATACAGTTCTACTTTCACCTGCACTTCATTGCCTGTCAAATGAAATTGAATCCTTCAAGTAGATTCTGGGAAAAAAAGATTTACATAAACAAATAGCAGGGCAGATAGAAAAGCAAAAACAAACATCATGTACTGCTGGCACCATCACTGCCAAAAAAACAAAGCAGAAGGTTTCAGCCTTAGTGTCTTTGTTTTTAAATAGAAATGTCCTAATTGATGGTCTCTCTGAGGTTATATTTAGTCTGGACTCGACATAGAAAATGTGCTTAGACAGACCTGAAACAAGCATTCAAACCTTGTAATATGTAAAGCTTCTCAGTCTCTACGTTATTACACACCAAGTGAACAAAGTATAAGTTAGTGGTTCAAAACTAAAATGAGTGATATTTATCATAAAAGCTCCAAGACTGGAATAGTCTGTGCAGATCTCTGCTGTCTACTTGGACTAAATCACAGTTTTTCACTTAAGCTTTACTGAAATGACTAAGCTCTTCATAATGTCTCACGGTAACAATATAACAAATAAAAGAAAGGGAACTGTGTCTACAGTATGAAAATCTGTTACCAGTATCTGTTGAGATTAGAGGATGTGGAAGAGACTGTTAGCAGTAAGTTCTCTACAGTACAGCCGATTTGGGCTTAAAGCTAAAACACAGAGCCACACTTTTATGTTTTATGTGTTTTACCACCAACAATAAAACCAACTTTTTGTTTCATCTTCCTTTAAAAAAAACAGTTCTGATATCGACTTGGATGTGGACGGCTTCCAAAATGTGTTTTTTTCACAACATATGAGAATGCCTCCCAAACAGCTGAGCATATTTGTGCACAGTTGGACGCAGTATTACAGTATTCAGCATTATCCAGTCCGCTAAGCCAAGAGTCGTTTCCCACCTAGCTAAGAAGCCTCCACAGTCGAGGCTTTGTTCAACAGAGAGCAGCTGATCACTGTGGAAATGCCACAGAAGGCTGTTTCTGTCTCTGTCTCTCTTATTACCACAGCAACACAACACACTCAGTAGAGCAAACCTCATGTACATCTATCATTTACACTAAGAAACCTATTTTACAACTCAGCCGTACTGATAGTAAAATACAAATACAACTGTTTATTGACATAAAAGTGATACAATCCCTAACTATTACTATTTTTTAGTATCTGTAGTGGTACTGAGTTACTGGCACCTTGCAAGGGTGTTAATGTAAATCCAGCAGCCTCATTTCAAACAGCTAAATTGTGTACATAAACACAATGTCTGGGTTTGTCTGATTGTATCATCGTGTTTAGAGTCGGGTAGTTTGAGGTGAACACAACACACACAACCGCTTCAACAGGCCAGTTCACATAACAAGACAATGCTATTTACAGGAATGGTTAGCACTGATGAAAAACAAGCAAAATTCCAACTTAGTCTAAATCTGTGTGGTCAAACCACGACCACGAATAGTTTGGGAAACTGTACCTACAGTATGTCCAGTGTGGTTTGAAGATTGAAAGATTGTAAGCAAATTGCGAGACCTTCAGCAGTCCAGATGTTTTGACTTGTGTGCAGACAGGTTAATCTTTAAATTACATTTAAAAACACTCAGATTCTACTTTTTTTCTTTTATTGTTCATTTAAACTCTGAATGTGTCACATGAAAATACTAGCAGACTTTTCGACAGTCTATTTCCAACCTGAAAATGATTTTTGCCGGCGCTTTGCCACACAAAAGAAATAGTGTAGATATTCAGCCAGTTGAAGTTCACCACCCAGTCACCAGTATACAATCTATGCACCAAAATAACCCAGATTTGGAGAACTACCGTGATTTAATGAGCTGTGAGTGTGATGTGTGGAAAACACTGTTATCTCAACATAAACACTGAACACCATGGTAACAGTAACTATAGTTCATGACCCTGTAGAGATCACTTCAGTCTCAGCTGCTTTAATATGATTCTCTCTGTGCCGCTGATGAAACACAACACTTTTACATTGATTTGTGAAGGTAAGGGTTGCCGGAGAACATCCAGGGTGACTCATCCTCCATTCAGCAACACCATAAATGGGTAAAAACACAGACCGCTGTCTAAGCGCTTGTATAAAATTCACATTTAGCCAAAAACAGAGCGGGATTTGGGGTTTGTGCTGGTGGATAAAGTGGCTGTCTGCAAGTGACTGAGTGTTTCCACTAAACAGGCCAGCTGTCAGAGGCTGGCGAGCTTTGAGTCACTGCTGTTTTCACGAAAAGAAAGTCAGACCGTGAGCTGGTTGTGGAGTTAAATGGTAAATTTTGCGTTGTGGATACTTTTTTAAATAGTTGGTCAACTGTAAACTCGTTTTAAAATGTGCTGTGTATAGGTTTACAGGTTGTTACTGGAACAATAAACACTGCAATTTACCAGTTGTCCCAGAAAGGTAGCCAGCATACTGTACCAGTGATATTTAGTGATTTTATATGTGCTGTTTTACATTAGTTGTCAACTGAGAAATGTTATGTTGTTGTTAAACATGTTTGTGTAAGCTGTTTGCACACAATATCCCCTGTAGCATAATAATTAAAGGTTTAGTTTTAGTGTGTGTAGTAATTCTCGGAAACTTTATCCTATTTTTAAAGTTCTTCTTAAAGCCGTACAGACTGGGGAATAGCCACCTCAGTTTCCCAGTAGGACGGTGTCTCTGCACTAATGAAGCTGAACTCATTAACTTCATACCAACATTATAAAACTACGGATCTGTTTCTGTAGCTTGAGGGCTGCGGCGTTACTCACCATTCACAGACTCTGTCGGGCTCATCTCTATTAAGCTGTCCCCTCCAGATTTCCCCGTTATTCGGTGCATGTTGAGCCCCTCGTTTACCCAAAGTGTGCTTATCGATCCTCATGTACACCGACGTACCCCCCCCAGCCAGACGACTTCCTGCTCGCCTTCCCACGCCTGAACTCGGAGCTGTTCTTCTCCTACAGAAACCTCCTCTACAGAAACCTCCTCTACAGAGACCTCCTCTACAGAGACTCCTCGGCTAACGGAGCAGGAGACTTGGCCGCCCTCCCTCCTTCCCTGAAGGATTGCTGCATCACTTCAGCATGGGGGGTGAGGGGGTGGGGGAGGTCTGTGAGGGGAGTGGCTCCACACCACAGGCCAATAGTGTGAGCCTGGCTGGGGGAATGAACAGATACTGTCCCCAAATGTCTAACGTTACGTTTATGGTGCGTGGATGTTAAAACTGAATGAACATGAAGGGATAGTCGAAAATATGTCGGCTGACAGGTGCTAGCACACAGACGCTGAGGCGAGCTCTCAAATTAAAGACAACTGGGATTTTCTCTTCGGTATTCTACTTACCTAGAGATAAAATAAAGTAAAATGTGGCGAGGTTTGGGACTCAACAGTGTTTAAGTGACGCTAGTTTTAGTCAGAGGTTTATTTTTACCGGACGACAGTTTGTGAAGAATGTCGTTACCATGGTCACCGACAGTTTGGTTCTAGAACTGTACATGAGATTCGACAGTTGCCAGCCAATCAGAAACGAGTATTTTCCAGGCCGCGGTCAGGTGAGGACCTGAAAATACAAATAAATGTGTCTAATTAAACAAATCTGTGCAGAGGTTGGGTTATTTTTGTGACACTGTTTAATAAATGATCTTTATTTTGTTTATTTGCACACTGCACATCAGACACTTTTATTTTTATATATTTTTTTTACTTACTGTACTTATTGTAATATTGTGTTTTTTGTTACTTATTGTATTATACTATTGTATTTAATGCGTCGGTATCAGAGGTGGAACCGCAAAGAAAAGATTTCATTCATTTCCATTCGGAAAACTTGCCTTTCTTTTGTTGGGCATATGACAATAAACATCTTGAACTTGAACTTTGTCACTTTATGGTTGAAAAATTGGGAAGTGAAAGTGGGTGCGTGGACTATAACACTGACTGAATGAGGATCTAATAGCAGCAATGACTCTCAGTCTCAGACCATGAACATCCACAATCAAAGTCATGTAATTTGTTAACATGCAAACGAGGCTTAAGACAGGCTAGGCTATAAATTCAGTTTGTTTGGCAAAGTATCTAGAGTGAGAGCTTCCAGCTTTCAACCATAGCCACTTAACTCATGCCTTTCCAAAACACAAGACAACTTCCCACCTGAGATCATGTTGAGACAGCTAAAGAAAAACAGCTGTTATGTTATAATTGTAGATTGAACCATCAGTAATCATTTTAGCCTATAACTGTCAAAAGACCTGGTAAAATAGAAAGATAGAGGCTCAAATCTTTGCTGAAGAGTCCTTTCAGGGACCGGGACTGTGGACTCTAGTGAACCCTTCATCAGTCACTCAGTCAGATGTTTAGTTTACAGTGTTTTGTTTTGTTTAAGGCCGTATGGTGTTTGTGTTCTCTTCCCAGTCGTTCACACGTCTGTATATCTGTTTCCTCTATAACAGGGAGTTCAGGAAAGGGTCTATCAGCAACTTCCCTGCTCCTCCCAGTCACCTCTCTACCCTGTACTTCTACGCTGGTCAAATTTAGTAGCAGTGGCCCCCTCTGTTGCCCTTCAAGTGGTTTACACGGTCCTGTGCTGGTGTAATTATGTCATCCTCCTCTGTGGGGTGTGCCCGGGTACAGAAATACAGCTGCTTATTTACGCAACCGCTTTTTCCTCAGCCTCTCCTCCTTGACATGTGGGTCTTCTTGGGTGTGCACTGCCCTCCAAGGTTTCCAAGACTTATAGTAAAAAATTATCTTTAATAACAAGGTACGGAGGCCCACCCGTTTGACATGTTAGTTTTCTTTTCTGACTGTCAAAGAGACAGGGTGGGGGACAGAAATAGGTCCACAGGACTGTGCAATGGGAACACGTGTAAGATATTAAATGAACTAGGCAGAGGAGAAAGTCTCATACAGCAAGTGTCAATATAATTTAAAGCAGATACTAATTTATAAAAAATGTATAAAACATGCAGCCACGTTAAAGTAACAGTCCTGTATTTCAGATTTCATCAGTAAAATATGCTTAAAATAGGCTATTAAAAGTCAAAGTACTCATTATGTAGAATACACCTATATTTTTATTACATTATTTTTATTAGCCTACTATTTTTGCTTTAAGCAGCAACGTTTAATATTTCTACATACTGGTGGGTAGTTTAATCTGTCACACTGCATCATCTTCTGGTCATACATTTAGAATGTAATATAATAGTTAATACTATAATAGCCTATATTGCAAAAGCAACTATAGCTCAAATAAAGTAGTGGAGTAAAAAGGTACAATATTTCCTTTTCTTTGTCAAATGTAGTGTACAAAATGGGAATTCTCTGGTAGAGTACAAGTAGCCTCCCTTTAAAAGTGTTACTTTCAGCACTAAAAGATTTAACTGTAAACCTGTAAGGATTCTCAACATTACAGTGGATAAACCTCTTCTGCTTTTTATTATTTGATCTGTATTATTGTTTTATGACGTTTGCTTCAGTATTTCCTGTAAATGTGGATTGTGGAAGTAAAACTGCTGAAACTGTTCAACTTAAAGGTAAAGTATAACGCTGAGTGATCTTGAGATTCCTCAATGTGAGTGAGCATTTGTTGGCTATATATACGACTCACCACTGAACATCTAATAAGGTGAGTTAATATTCAACATGTAGGCCTATCAGATAGACTACATGTATGCATTTATCTTGTGGTAAGTTAGTTAAGAAAAAATAAATAAATAAAATAAGATATTCCTTTA